GAGGCAACTGATGGGCTTGGGCCAGGCTAGTGTAGGCTGGCCTCGGCTCTGTACCAGCCCTTGTCACCATAGGGCCAAGCCAAGTTGGGTTGAGCCAAAAACAATTAACAAAAACTATAAGGAAAAAACAAGAAAAGAAAAGAAAAAAGAAGAGCTGGACCTAACTAGGCCGGCATTGGCCCCAGGCTATGGTCCAAGCCCTACGTCTTCAAGACTGGCTGGGCAGAGCCAGGGCACCTAGCACATACCCAACCTAACTCCAAACTAAGAAGTGGGCCATTTTGAACTTTTCTAATCGTATGAAATGAGCTTCCAAAAGTGACATTCTTACTGGTAAATTAAACGAGTTGATTCCCTAAGGAATTTTTAGGGCTTTCACCATTTTAATAATAATTTCTCTTGGTACTCTTTAAATTCCAAAGAGAGTGTGGGCATGATGACTTTGAACATACGTCTCACGACCTTTTTTCCTTTTTTTTTTTTTTTTGTAAAGGGTGCCGTTTGTATAGAGCCGAGGCTCTAAACAATCAAATTAGAGCCGACCTTCAAATAGTATCGAGAAAAGTAGTTTCAATACTGAAAATCTTTGTGATAGCCTTAAAATATATTATTAATTTTAATTATAAAATTTAAAGCTTAAAAAATAGTATAGATTGAGCAGATCTATAAAAACTTGAAAATTGACGGTCCAAAAATGCATTACAAGATGCACTATTTCCAAAGCTTGAAAGCCATTTTTTTCTCATGTCCTTGAAATCTTGATACTGAGATGATTAATTTAATGATATTTGGGCATCAAAACAACCTTTTCTAGTGAAAGTTTTGAGGTAGGCTCTAATTTGATTATTTAGAGCAGTATTCGCAAAGCCGGTCGATCTAACCAGTAACCGCCCAGTTAGATTGGAAGTGGCTGGTTCCGGTTTTGGGCGGGTTTGGTGATCAACCGATATTTTAAACTTTACATATAATACTACTTCAAATTTATATTAGATATGTTGAAATGTTTTATTGGTTAATTTTGATGGTTAAGTTGCATATGAATCATGGTTTGAATCCCTGCATTTTTCCTTTTAAGAATTCAAATTCATTTCATCATTTTTCTTTTTAAGAATTCCAATTTATTTTGTTTTTTATTTAAATATATTAGATATATTGGAATGTTTTATTGGTTAGCTTTGACGGTTAAATTGCATATGATCATGGTTCGAATCCCAGTGTTTCCTTTTTAAGAATTCATTTCGTCGTTGATTAAAAAAATTTACAAATTTACTTCCCACAAGGATCAAACTTGAAACATGTCCTTTATTATTAGACCCACTAAACAATACACCATTTACTACTTAATTGACAAAAATAAGGCCTATATTATATATAACTTAATTTTTTCTTCATTTTCTTTTAAACGAAAGAGTTGGTCAAGTTGATTTTTTTAATAATATTTTAATATTCTTTACATTATGGTAAAGAAATTTTTTTTTTTGATCAATGATACTTTTTTATTTTCCCATCTTTTTCAAAAAAAATTAAAAATACCCCTACGGACAAATCGATTCGTTAAAATCCATTTCTTTAATTAATTTTCAACTTCATTTGAGTATGTTTTGTTTTAATCACATTCTTTATATGCTTTTCATATTTTAAAAGATTTTCTTGTGTATCGTTTTTATTTTTAACACGTTTTTTATCGTACGGGACTTGCCCGGTTAGAGCGGTTGAATCGGTCAGTTTACCGGTTAGGCCGGTTAAATCGCTCTCTATATAAACTTTTCCCTTTTATAAATTTCTTTTAATCAAGATTAAGACATGCTAGTATATTTATGTGTGTTGAACTTAGAAATATAAGAAAAAGACAAAAAAACAAAAACTAAAATACTAGTAAAACTGTTACAATGGAAATAAAATTTACAATATTAAAAATTTCTCATTAAAAAATAAAAAATGTTTAAAAGGTAAATGTAAAACTGTGATTGAAGTTTGTTATTTTGTATAATAATTATTTACCATATAACCTCCTATTTCTCTATTTGTAAAAATAGTAAGCATAAGTTATTATAAAAAAACGAAGTAACCATAAGGTTTTTCAAGTACTTAATAGTTTTCTACCAAAAATTAGAAATACTCAAGGAAAAAAAATGTAATGAAATTAGTCATAAATTTAATTGAAAACTATAAATATCTAGAATTTAATTACATAAATATTTTTATTTGGTAGGAAATTTTTATTATATTAAAAATATAAAAGTTGTTATAAATAATTTAAAATTATAAAAATTTCCAATATATAAATTTATTTAACAAATTAGAAAAAATAAAGAAACACAATCAACCCATAGTTTCAATTATTTAGAACCTTTGTGCTCTTTCAAAATACCCATCAACAGTACTTTCACATGCTACCTTGTTCAAAACACCTGTTGGAACATACTATGTGTCTACTACCTTGTTCAAACCCAGGTTTCCCATAGGAGAACGAATACTATGCTCCTGTTGGAACATACTATGTGTCTACTACCTTGTTCAAAACACCTTTTTATAAAGATTATTTTAGTCTAAAGTTTTGGAAATGACATAATAACTACTAAGTGATTATTTTCAAAAGAAAAATTTGAATTTTGAGTTTTATAACACATAGACTCTTCAAAAATTGGAAGTTACTATTCCATCATGACGCTTTTTTTTTATAGTAAATAAAGAGTTTATTTCAAAAATTCTTATTGAGATTAATTTATGCATTATATAGATTACATCTCCAAAATTTGAGATCTATAAGGAATTCCTAGCATGCATTATACTTGAGCGAGTAAATGGATAATATGCTCCTATGGGAATAGGAAATCTTTTGGCTTCTCAAAGAGTGTATACTATGCTCCTGCCTATTAGAAAGACTATCTTGGTCTAAAATTTTGGGAACCACATAAGAACTAGATGATTATTTTCAAAAGAAAAAATTTGAAGTTTGAGTTTGGTGACACTTAGATGTAGCTTTTTAAAAAGGGTGTGGTTTCTACGAGGTTGCAACCTTAAACAATCCAATTAAAGTGTACCTCCAAATTTGATCAGAACGTGTAATTTTGTTATAAACAATTCTTAGTATTATTTTAAAATCTATTTTCATATCTAATTATAAAATTTTAAACTCCAAAAATGGTTAAAATCAAGGAGATCTATAAACATATGAAAATCTTGAAAATGGATGGTCTAGATAATGTGTTGCAAGATGCACTATTATTGGGACTAAAAAACTTTTATTTTTATTTTTATATTCATACATCTCGAAGGCGAGATGATCAAATGGAGGATTTTTCAACATTAAAACAACCTTTCTGATAGGTTTTTGAAGTGCATCTGTAATTCTACATTTTAAGGTTGCCTTATATAAACTTTTCCCTTTAAAAAAATGGACAGACTATTTTATCTTGAGGTTTTTTTTTCTTTTAGTACATAAAGAGTTTATTTCAGAAATTTTTTTATTGATACTGGTTTATAGGTCGTAGAGATTACAACCGCAAAATTTGAGATCTAAAAGGTATGCATTATACCCGAGGGAGTAAAAGGATAATATGCTCATGGGAGTAAGAAATCTTTTGGCATTCCAAATATTGCGTTCCCGCAGGAGCATACCATGCTTCTACTCCCTCGTGCAAAATACCTATTTATAAAGATAAACATTTAGGGTACCACAAAAGAACTACTAGATGATTATTCTCAAAAAAAAAAAAAAAAAAAACAAAAAAAAAATTGAATTTTGAGTTTTGTGACACTTAGATCTAGCACTTACAAAATTAAAGAGCCTATTATATCCTGCGGCATTATTGTTTTTTAAGCGAAACACATGAAGAGTATTCAAACTCCCGCGCCAAGAAGAAAACCAAGCCCTGTTTTTCCTCAGCCCTGCACGCCCATGAAACTTGACCAATTCAACTTGTCCCAACCGTGGCTTCAAGCAAATGGGCTATCTTTGAATTTATTTATTTATTAGTTTGGACAAATGGGTGTTTTGCTTGTCTCTCTGAGGCAAGCTACTGAAATTTGGGGCTTGTATGCATCAATAAAATGTTAAAAGTAATTACTAAAAATAAAATGATTAAAATATGCCTAAACCATTTATAGGGGCAACTTGGTCATTTTTTTGTTTGAAATATTTTTTAATATTTACTCAGGTGTGCCTCACTTACGCAGATATATCCACAAATTTTGAAATTAGTCTGATTTATGAAAATGATTAAAATTAAAAAACTATCAAACAAATATGACTATAGATAGACTTTAGATAGTAATAAGCCAATAGATAGACTTTAGATAGTAATAAGCCATGAGGGAATTACTATAGAAATTCACTCACGAGAGTTTGTAAGTATTTATATGTAGGAATTGCCTACAAAGAGACCATTTATCTTTTGTAGATCGAGGTCACAATGTACCTACAAAATATATCTATAGAATGAGTGTCGTGGAGATGAGGATGTTGAGATGAATGAATGACAAGACAAAAGGGGATATAATTCAAAATGAATGCATTCGGGAGAATTTAGGTGTGACACCAATAGACGATAAGATGAGAGAGAGTAAACTTGGTGGCCTGACCATGTGTAGTGTCGACCAAGTACAACACCTATTAGGAAGTACTAGAAGGTACGAATTAGTTCAAATGAAAAGATTTAAAAAGACGAGAGTATGCCCAAAAGGACATAATTGAAAATAGTTCGAAAAGATATGAAGACTTATTGCCTCACAGAGGGTATGATTTTTAATGTAGCAAAATGACAGACGGAGATTTACGTAGCCGACCCCAATTAATTAAAAAAAATTCTGATAATAATGATAATGATTTGGAGGTCATAATACTTATTCCTGTTCGATAGAGATTTTCATCCACCAAGGATACATGTGTATGCATGCCACATAAGAGAGATTCTCGGTAAAAGATTATGATTCATTATAAAATAACATATCGTAAATGAGGTACAAAAGTTTCATTAGTCTCATTCTTGAATGCCATAGAATAATATAACATATCTTAATTGAGGTACAAAAGTCTCATTCTTGAGTGGCATAGATAAATAACATGTCTTAAATGAGGAACAAAAGTCTCATTCTTGAGTGGCATTGAAGCGAAGCAGACCGTATACTCCTCTGCAAAACATGAGTGTGTGAGAGAGATTTGAATGAAATCCTTCTCATCTTTCTTGCTCTGCACAATGTGGCACAATGTTACATTGCTATAGCAGTCTAGCATATCACCAGCTTCCCATCTCAATATCACCCTTGTCTTTTACCTCATTCTCTTAGTGTTTCATTTCAATTTAATACATTATTACCATTCTACCTGCCATGTTTTATTATGAGCACATTAGGGAGCACAAAATCAGTTTGCGACAAAGGTATTGAACATTTGGAATTTTTTCCTCAAGTACTTAATTAAATCACTATGTAGAGGTTTAGCCTTAACCATGACTGCCCCATTTTGCAATTTCATAAGAGGAACTAAAATAAGAATGGTAAATGAGAAGACTGGTTCTCAAAATTATATTAGCTAGAGCAGGGAAGTCCTAATAGGCCCTTGGCAAAATCTAATAAAATCTTGGGGAAAGAAAATACAATGCAACCCAAATGGTGATTGGTTCAGATCTAAACCCAAAAATCCGAAGGCAACATACACAAAAATATCTATATTTTCAACTATTGGATTGTTAAAGGGGCTTGTATTACCAAGTCAAAATTACAACTGAGGCTTTAAGAAAAAGGGCCATATATATATATATATATATATATATATATATATATAAGT